ATTATTTCCACTACTAATTAATTACCGTTGAGCTTAAAGGTCCTATTAATAAACGGTTAACGAATGTGTATTTATGAAGACGATTTGTGAGACTGGTAAACTTACATTTGTTTGTACGATGGTCTTTTGTTCTACACGGTGCATTTCATGGACCTTTACCCATCCGTCCATAAACTGTACCTGGGCTTGTTGCAGTGACCTGAAGTTACTAAACTTCATGAGTGTATGCACTCACTCCAAGAACCGTATAATTATAAATATGAGCGTGGTGAAAGTGGGCAGCACGCTAACGTCTTTTGTCCACTCTGTGTGCTCGTAAGGGTCTAACCCTTTCACTCCTTTGATTTTTTTCCTCGTATCTTTTCTTTGCCTTTTCATCGAGCCTGTCTTTGTACGGACCGGATACTTGGCGCCATTGTGCACCAAGGATACCATTGTGCAGGATACCATTTGCAAAATGGACTTAACAGACTTGAAGTCCGAAAGGTGTTTTCTCAAAGACTTCCACTTGTTTTGTTTGCTTCAAAAAACCAACATGATAGGAAATAAAAATACTAAAACATGCTACCAACTGTCCAAAAGGTCTATTACTCCAATATAAGTGAGTTAAATTATATTATTTTTGTTGTAATGGTACTAGCTAGCAAGCACCGCTGTGTGTGTGATGTTCTTCCTTTAGCCTATATTGCTAACATTACTAGCATTAGTTAATAATTTAGTACTCCACCCTCAAAAAGCAACAACCTGCTATCAAGCAAAATCCTAAAGTCAAGGTTTGAAAACAGGATTTCAGAAACCAATGTATGACGTCACAGTGGCCACGTCCATCTTTTGTATACAGTCTATAGTGGTAATGTATTCATGTCTCATATTTCACAGAATTTAATTTGTTTTCCAGTGTTTATGCCATAAACTGTAAATTTGTGCACATGTAAGAAAAAGGCCACAACTTGTTTACTACAACACTTTGATGCTTCTCCACATAATTATGTAATCATGACAAGAAGTAATGAGAATAGGAAATTGAATCATGCTGACTGTAGTCTTATCTGGAACTGCGAATATGAGTAACTCTCCCAAAGCTAAAAGCCCTGAGTGGAAGAGTGAATCCATGAGATGACAGAGTAATCGTCCCCCCAAAAGCTGCTCCGCAGGCGACGACTAACCTTCCTGTTCTCTTTAAGCGTTTGCATTCAATTAAGCAATAGTGCATCATGGTGAATACTGTTAAAGTCGATTTCTGTGGTCCTTTCTTTGTGTTTTAGTGCACACACAAAGACCCCTCCCTTCTCATACCCAGAAAATGGTGAATGTTCACTTGGGCAGAAGGATCTTATTTAAAAGCCAGATTTGGGCTGTGCTCCCCTTCGAGACTCGCACACAAAGCTTAAGAGGATCACACGATACTCAGGATGTGTTTTCTTTCTTTGCTTTCGTCTCGGGGGACTGTGGAGACAAATGGCTGTGTGATCCGGAGTCTCCATCGCGGGTAATGGTGTCTTTTTTTTTTTTTTACAGGCTTGTTTTCAGAAAAACTGGTCTATAAATAAATCTCTTCAATTTTTCATTCAGTCAAATGCAACACACAGTTTATTATCGCTTGACATTTTTTTTCAAGTATGAAAATAACAATATTGAAAATAAATAACAATAAATAATAATTTGAATGACATTGTGATTTTTCATCGACCACCGTATACGTACCACGAAACGATGAGGATTCTCTTTGCATGGTTTCTATATTTCTTATTCTTGCTGATGTAAAACTTTTATTTTGAAAATCCCTAGCACAATTGCATGACGACTACACGTTTCTTTCGTTTAATTTGAATTTTCTCCACCACAAAAGGCTGGAATCAAGCTGAAAGCAGCTGCTCTGTTACAAGTGATGATCAGCATCATGTAAAACTCAATTACTTAAAATAATTTGACTTTTTTTTATCACAACCAGAGCTCACACATCACTTACAAGGGGTAAAAAAAATCATAATAATAGGGTGACAAAAAGAAAAGGTTCATATACAATTTTCTCATAAAAATGCACAGGTGCTAGGCATACTGGTATCATAGGAATGTGGACTGTGAATTGCTGATCACATGGAAAATGTGCCCATATGATTTACAGTGTGTGGTTTGTGTTTTTGGTTTCTATTCGTGGATTTTAAAGCCCCCTCCCATCACACTCACCTCTGATATTTATATATTTACAGGTCATCAGTAAATACAGTTACTGCAAGTGTTCGAGTCAATCGAACGCCACAGAAAGTCACGAGGTGTGAATAAGTATAAACACCACCCTGAATGGAGGAACCCTTTGCTTGCTGGTCGAGTCGATCTATTAAGTCTCTTTGATCAGCTGAAGAGTTTTGTTCCAAAAAGACCATCGGAGGAGGCGGTGGT